GTCCTTAGACACGTGACTTATCCATTCTAAAATTCACTTTCCTCATCTGAAACCCAGGATAATATTGATGCCCATCTCCTAGAGTTGCTGTAAGGCTCATACATAAAATATTCTTAGCTTAACGCCTGCCACGAAGTAAGCACTAAATAATTATTGCTGTTGTTGGTTGGCCAATAGTCACTATCTTGCACAAAATCAAACACCAGTAAGAAGGCAGAAGTGCTAGTCTTCTGATTCCAAATCCCAGGCTCTTTCTCTTACCATGTGTTACTCTACTGAATGTTTATTGCTTTCTTAAATGATTAAAATACCACAGTGCTGTTTGTGTTATCCAGGGGCACTGAAGTATTCTAATTATGCAGAGGTGCAAATCAAAGATCGCTCCAAGTAGAAAATCATAATGTTTCACTGTTCTTTGCGCTTGCTTGAGAAAAAGAACCCACATATCAGACCATTTCTCACCCTCTCAGGAACTCTGCTTCCTGGGAGTTACAGTTCTTTGATATCAAAAGCAGTTCCAGTCGTGCCAGCTGAAAGGGCTGACTGCAGTTTGACAGCGTAGAGGCCATAGCATTCTCTCTGTTTGGGGCCAAGTGGTGCCGTCAACTGTTTGTCTCCCTTTCAAAGTTGTTCTCTCGTATTTTGCTCCAACTTCCTCCAAATACGACTGGTACAACTGCAGGTGCCACCAGCTCTCTGGCTCATTGCTTAGTTAGGCTTAAATGACTGCGTGCTTGCTCCCTGCTTCCCTACTGGGCTTGGCACAGCTCCAGGCTGCTTGGGTACTGAAGCCTGTGAAGTCCATGAAGTTGGTTTTCCAGACTAACTTTAACCTGGAATGAACTTCAGACAAGGTAGCTCTGGAGAAATTCATATTGACTTTCCTACCTCATTTACAAATAATTTTTCAAATTGTCAAAGAGAAACATTCACCAACATAGACTATACCCTGGGCCATAAAACAAACCTCAACACGTTTGAAAGAAATTAAATCACACAAAGGGATTTCTCTGAAAGCAATGGAATTAAACTAGAAATTGATAGCAGAAAGATATCTGGAAAATCTGTTTTAAAAAAAGTTGGCAATTAAAACAGCACAGTTCAAAATAGCCCATGGTTCAAATAGGAAGTCATGAAGGAAATTATAAAATATTCTGAGCAGAATAAAAATGAAAGTACAACATATCAAGATGTCTGGGATGCATTTAAAGTCGTGCTTAGAGGAAATTTTATGGCATTAAAGGCTTATATTAGCAAAGAAGAAAGATCTAAAATTAATGATCTCTGGGACTTCCCTGGTGGTCCAGTGGTTAAGGCACTACGCTCCCAATGCAGGGGGCCCGGGTTCGATCCCTGGTCAGGGAACTAGACCCTGCCTGCCACAACTAAGAGTCTGCATACCGCAACTAAAAGATCCCGCGTGCCACAACTAAATATCTCGCATGTCGCATGAAGATTCCACACGTGGCTATGAAGATCCCGTGTGCCGCAACTAAGACCTGGCCCAGCCAAATAAATACTTAAAAAATAATAAGAAGAAAATAAAATTAATGGTTTAAGCTTTCATCTTAAAAAAACTAGAAAAAGCAGCTAAAAGCAAAGCAAGGCGAAGGAAGAAAATAATAAAGAGATGAAATCAGTGAAATTGAAAAACCACAGAGGAAATCAATTAAGTCAAAAGCTGTTTCTTTTAAAAAAATCAACAAAATTGGTAAGCCTTAGTCAAACTGATCAGGAAAAGAAGGAAAAAAATCCCCAAATTACTAACATCAAAAATGACAGAGAGGAGGGCTTCCCTGGTGGCACAGTGGTTGAGAGTCTGCCTGCCGATGCAGCGGACGCGGGTTCGTATCCCGGTCCGGGAAGATCCCACATGCCGCGGAGCGGCTGGGCCCGTGAGCCATGGCCGCTGAGCCTGCGCGTCCAGAGCCTGTGCTCCGCAGTGGGAGAGGCCGCAACAGTGAGAGGCCCGTGTACCCTGCCCCCCCCCAAAAAGAAATAGATACCCTGAATAGTCCCATATTTTATATAATAAAGAAGTAGAATTTGTAATTAAAAACATTTCAACAATGAAAATTCCAGATGGCTCTACTGGCATATTTTACCAAACATTTAAGGAATAAATAATACCAATTTAATATAAACTTCTCCAGAAGATAAAGGAGAAGGAAACACTTGCCAACTCATTTTATGAGATCGGCATTACCTTGATACCCAAACCAAAGACATGAAAATTAAACTATTAATATCTCTCAGAAACAATGTAAAAATCCTTAATAAAATATTATTAATAAACTCCAGCAGTGTATCAAAATGATAGAACACTATAACCAAACTGGTTTTATCCCAGGAATGTAAGGTTGGTTCAACATTTTAAAATCAATCACAGTAATTCACTGTATCAACAGACTAAACAAGAAAAGTCATTATTTCAATAGATGCAGAAAAGTATTTGACAAAATTCTCCATCCGTTCATTATTAAAGACAAAACAAAAAAACACCTTTCAGCAAATTGCAATTAAGAAGAACTTTCTCTGGACTTCCCTGGTGGTCCAGTGGTAAAGAACCTGCCTTCCAATGCAGGGGACACGGGTTCGATCCCTGGTTGGGGAAGTAAGATCCCACATGCTGCGGGGCAGCTAAGCCTGCACACCACAACTACTGAGCTCTCACGCCTCAACGAGAGAGCCCGCGTGCCGCAAACTACAGAGCCCACACGCTCAGGAGCCTGCACGCCACAACTACAGAGCCCATGCACCCTGGAGCCTGCGTGCCACAACTAGAGAGAGAAAACCTGCACACCACAACTAGAGAGAAGGCTGCGTGTGCCACAATGAAGAGCCTGTGCCACAACGAAGGATCCTGCACGCCTCAGGGAAGACCCTGCATGCCACAACTAAGACCCGATGCAGTCAAAAAATAAAAAAATAAATAAATATTAAAAAAAGAACGTTCTCAATCTAATAAACAGCTTCTGTGTTCTATATTGCTGTGTAACAGCCCCAAAGCATAAATGTCAAACAATGATTATCTCACACTCTCTGGAGGCTGGGAATCTAGGTATGACTTAGCTAGGTGCCTCTGAATCAAGGTCCCTTACAAAAGTGAACTTATGTTGTCAGCTGGGGCTACGATCTCATCTGGAGACTCACTGGAGCAGGAGTAGGGGTGGTGGTAGGGAGATCCACTTCCAAGCTCACTCACAAGATTGTTGGCAGCATTCAGTTCCTCACAGAATACTGCACTGAGTGACTATGTTCTTCTTGGCTGTTGGTCGCCTCAATTCCTTGCCATAGGGCAGCTCACAACATGGCATCTGGATTCCCTCAGAGGCAGTGAGCAAGAGAGTACAAAAGAGTACTCAAGGCAGAAATCACAGTCTCTTTGTAACCTAATATCAAAAGTGATATTCCATTACTTTAAACATATTTTATTCCTTAGAAGCAAGTCACTAGGTCAAGCCTACACTGAATATACAAGGGGAGTATACAAGGGCATGAATACCATGAGGCAGGGATCATTAAGGGCCATCTTAGAGACTGCCTACCACAACCTCTACAAAGAAATCTAGTTAGTGCAGGATACCTAGTGGTGCAAGATTGAATGTTTTCCTCCTAAGATCAGTAATAAGGATGTCTGCTCTCACCACTCCTATTTGATATTACACTGGAGGACGGACATACCAAGTGCAATAAGGTGAGAAAAAGAAAGAAAAGGCATACCAGTTAGGAAAAACTAAAACTGTCCCTATTTGTAGATGACATGATTGTCTACATAGAAAACCTCAAGGAATTTACAAAAACCTTCTAGAACTTGTAAGTAAGAAAACATCCAGATTGCAAGTCAGCATATGAAAAACTGCTCAATGTTAGTCATTAGGGAAATGCAAATTAAAACCACAAGAGACCATTACCCACCTTTTAGAATGACTGAGTCAAAAGAACTGAATACCAAGTGTTGGCAAAGAGGCAGAAATTGGAACATTGCTGGCAGGAATGTAAAATGGTACAGTCACTTTGGAAAACATTTTGGCAGTCACTTACAGTAACACATACTTAACACATGACCCAGCAGTACTCCTCCTAGGCATTGTTTTCCCAAGAGAAATGAAAACATATGTTCACACAAAAGACCATTCATGAATATTTACAGTGGCTTGGTTTATAATCACCAAAACTGGAAAAAACTCAAATGTTCTTCAATTGGGAGTGGATAAACAATATCCATACAATGGAATAGTACTCAGTAATAAAAAGGAATGAACTACTGATAAATGCAACAATATGGATGAATCTCAAATATATTAACACTAAGTGAAAGATTAGCCTCAAAAGGCTACATAATATATAATTCCATTTATATGACATACTGAAAGAGGTATAACTATAGAGACAGAAAACATATCAATGGTCGCCATTTGCAAACCATTTTTGGGAGGTTCACCTCCAGCCCATCCCTGGACCCCATCTATATGCCACTCCATTTTCAAGGCAGCCACCAATCTCTCTCCTCCCAGCTCCAGCTCCTTCCTGAACCCTATCCTGATTTACATTTAGTGGCATGCTGCTTGGCACAGGCTTGGTCCACATTTAGTAGGCAGTATGCAAATTTTCTCTCCTCAGCTATTGCTTCCAGGCAACACCCATCTCAATGCTGGGCATATGGAATGGGATAGATGATAAAGTACTGAGGCAATCTGCCCAGTGGCGAATTACACTATTTCATGATTTCCTCCAAGTCCGTTAATTTTCCACCATTGTGCTTCGACCTGAGCGAGTAGGGCCAGTCGAGAGAAGGATGTAAATAAGGAATGTAAGATAGGACAGGCTCTGTAAGCCTCCATCTCCCACATTATAAGCCCAGCTCTAGTGGAAGTCAATGGTCAAGCACCGCCCCACACCACCCCAACTCTCAAGCTAGTGGGGGTACGTGCAGACTCTAACCAATTTCAGTCATCATACTGTCATCATACTTCCTCTTTTCCTCTCCCCCTTTCTCTCATTCATTCATTCATTACTGGCTGCTACAGCACTGACCAGGAGAGACACAGAAGCTGCCCTCAAGGCATTCACAGTCTCGCGGAGAATACAGGGGAGTAATCACAGTTATCACACGGTGTGGTACAGGCTGCGTGGGGTGAGGGGCTCCTAGCGCAGGCGTCTTCCCAGCAGACTCTGCCAGAGCGGCGTTTTCCACGACCTGCTGGAGTTTGCAATCTTGCAGGCCTCCTCTCCCCGGCAGAGGGACGTGCAGGGACCCGGGCCCACGTCCAGAACACCTTCTCCCGGGCTCCGAGGTAGCCCACCAGGGCCTTTCGCCGCAGCAAGGACAGCGGCCGGGGCGCTGCGGCCCCGCCCTGGCCAGGCCGGAGCCGGGGCCGGTTCCCATAGGGATCGCGGGCCGGCCAGCCGCG